GGAGGTTCTCTCCTCCCTTCAGAGAAAGGTACCTCCTTCTTTGATGACCTATTCTTTCCACTGGGATCTCACTCACAGAGATCTTTCATTTAGGTGGGTTTTTTTTTTTAGTTTTTAAATATCATTTTAAAGTGTCGCATTGAGTTTTACTCTCTTTTTGAGCCTTATTTTTCTGCTATGCTTTCATTTTCTTTAAGTATGGTATTCAGTTAACTTTTTCTACAACATTTTTATATGGGGTTCATTTGAAGACCTTGCATTTTACATATGCTTAAATTAAAAGACCTTTTATAAAATTTAAGAATATTTCTGCAGGGGGATTAAAGTAGGTCAAGGGAGCTTTACTAGTGTTACCTTTTGGGGCCTAAGAGGGAAGTTCTAAAAAATGATCTCAGTATATAGCAGAGATTCTATTACCATCTACAAGATTTGCTACCTCTTTTCCTCTCTCTCACCAATTTCTGAAGCTTTCATAGTAATTCCATTATCATTTCTAACCATTTCTTTGTTCCTTTGAATTAAGCTGGCTCTGATTTGAATATTTGGCCCCCAATTCATGCAGAAGTTTAAACCCCCTAACTATAATTTAATGGTACTAGGTGGGTGAAGACTTAATCCAGTTATGGTGTTTAAAAATGTTGCCTTTGGGAAGTGCATAGATAAGATTAGGTCGTTTGTAGGACAACCATGACTAAATCCTGATGGTTTCATAAAGAGAGAAATAGACATACGTGTGTACTCCCTGAACACTTCCTTGTAATGTGGGCCAGCTAGAACATCATCAGCAGAGAAAGAACCAGCTAGGCTTACTCAGTCTTCTACTGTGAACCTTCAAAACTGTAGACCACAATAAATCTCTGTCTTTTATTTTTCTCCCCCAGAATCCTTTTATTTAAAGGACACAAACTTCATGCATTTTATAAATATAACGTTAGAAGCATAGTGATTATTCATACCCTACACGCCCTCCTACCCATATTCCCACACTTCTTCCTTTTCTTTCTCCTATTTTCACTCTTATTTTTTACTCAGATCTAGTTTCAATTAACTTTATATACATAAGATTAACTATTCTAAGCAAAGAGTTCAACAAATAGTATAAAAAACTGTTCCTCAACAGTCTAGACAAGGGCTGTTCAGTGTCATTGCTTATCAACATTTCAATGTCACTTCTATAGATTAGCTTTTACGTGCTCTATTAGTTATCACAGATCAGTGAGAAAATATGATATTTGTCCTTTTCAGACTGGCTTATTTCACTAAATATAATGTATTCTAGCTGCATCCAATTTGCTGCAAATGACAGGATTTCATTTTTTTTAACTGCTGTGTAGTATTTTTTGTGTACATATCCCATAAATTCTTTTTAAAAAGATTTATTTATTTATTTGAAAGGTAGAATTACAGAGAGACATGCAGAGAGAGAGAGAGAGAGAGAGAGAGAGATAGGTCTTCCATCCACTGGGTCACTCCCCAAGTGGCTGCATGGCTGGAGCTGATCTGATCCGAAGCTAGGAGCCTGGAGCTTCTTCCAGGTCTCCCATGTGGGTGCGGGGGCCCAAGGACTTGGGCCATCTTCTTCCCAGGCCATAGCAGAGAGCTGGATTGGAAGTGGAGCATCTGGGGCTCAAACCTGTGCCCACATGGGATGCTGGCACCACTGGCAGCGGCTTTACCCACTATGCCACAGCGCTGGCCCCCTCCCATAATTTCTTTATCCAGTCTTCAGTTGACAGACTTCTGGAGGTGATTCCATATCTGAGCTATTCTGAATTGAGTTGCAATGAACATGGGGGTACAGATAACTATTTCACATTTGATTTATTCCTCTTGGTAAATTCCCAGGACTGAGAATGCTGGGTAATATAGTAGGTCTATATTGAGATTTCTGAGGTATCTCCATATTGTCTTCCACAGTACCTGGAAAACTTTACATTCCCACAAATAGTTGATTAGGGTACCTTTTCCCCTACATCCTCACCAGCATTTGCAGTTTGTTGATTTCTGTATGAAACCCTTCCTAAGAGCAGTGGGGTGAAATCTCAGTTGTGGTTTTGAATCACAATTCCCTTATGGCTAGTGATCCTGAGCATTTTTCATGTATCTTTTGGCCATTTAGATTTCCTCTTTTGAAAATTGCGAGTTAAAGTCCTTTGCCCATTTCTTAACTGAATTATTTGTTTGGTTGTTGAGTTTCTTGAGCTCTTTTCATTTAGATCATAAATTTGTTTCTGATTGCTTCTAACTAATACGACAATTTTCTGAATTACGTTTTTAACATATCCTCAATCTCTTCTTCAGTTTCTATTATTGGAGAGTTATGGTGTTCCTTTGGGGGCTCATGGTGTTTTCCTTATTCTTATTTAAGTGTTTTCCTTTGTTTTTTGGCACTTGTCATGCTTTTCTCTTTAATATGTGTCTTTGTGCTTGCGATGAGAATTTCCCTCTGCTATGAGCTGCTAAGTGTCTGTGTGTTGTAGCTGGAAGCACGCAGCTCTGCCTCCACATTCCTGCTCACGTCTTGATCATGATGGGGCGGGTACCAGTGCTCTGGTGCACTAATCCCCACCTACTGCGGCTGGGCTTGTTTCTCACTGGTGCATGAAACAAGGTCGAGATTTTGATATTTAGGACTTCTTGTCGTGCAACTTGCTTGGTTGGGGGAGATTACTCTGAAATGTTATGATCTTCATTTCTGGGTGGGGGGTGTAGTGAAGTGGCCCCCACAACTGATGGTCGTGTGCACAGGAGGCAAATGCTGTAGCCCCCTGCTTACATTGGAAGATGTAAACGAACAATGTAGCTTCTCCCAGTCAGCTGCAGATCCGGTTGGTGTAGGAGGGAGGCATAGATGGACAGGGGCATGCCCAAACTCTGTTTGTTCCCCTATACCCTCTCTCTCTTCCCACTTGGAACTTCAAATGCAGTTTACCAGGCTCCACAGCCTGCTGCTATCCGCAGCTCCTTTGTCTGGTGACTTCGCATCTCACCCGGTCTGCTGCAGGGGAGGTGACAGTCTCCCCGTTTGGCTTCTCAGCCACACCTCTGCTGCGCCTCCACCACTTCCCTTTGTTTTTTACTCCCTTAGGGTGGACAGTGTGCCCAGTCTCTGTTGGACTCTTGATCTTCTCTGCGGGAAATTCTCATGGCTCTGTCGCTGGCTTGTATCCCCTCCCCTTATTAACTATCTATTTTGCACTGGGTGACTCAGAACATCCTGTTGCTATACCACCAACCTTTCCCCCCATTTTTTTTTGTTAATAAGGGACATTGACTCCAACTGAACCGAGAAAATTAAAAGGAGGGAAAGGGTGCAGGGATAATTGTAACATGAGACAATATAGCCAAAATCTCATGGAGATGCAAGACAAGAAACATACCAAGGCCAGGTTCAGGAACACTGGACCTGATTGGTTAACACTGGAGGCTTTGCCCCAGTGGTTTATCAATCTTCACTTCATGCGTAGTGATTGGTAGGTGTCAGTCACTCAGTATCTAACTATGACTCTTCCTGCTACCAGTTCCTTTGTTCATCAGTATGCTGTATCTCTTCTCTAAACATAGTTTTTGTGTCAACATAATTTACTGCCTGTGACAATTCTAGGAACTAGCTACACATCACAGTAACTCTTCATGAATCATTTCTGCTTCAGAACCTATAGCCAGTGTCTCCATTTTAAAATAAAATAATTAACTAGCCCAAAATTGAAGCATCTACCATATTTTCTGCTTCTCATGATGTTAAGCATAGTAGTCAGTCTAACACTGTATTCTTTGGAGAAAATTCAATCAGGCATATATAGCAAACCTTTTAAGATTAATTTGTAGATTTAAATATTCTATCTATGTAAAAATAGCATTATAAATATCAACTCACAATCCTGTATTTCAAGAGATATCCAATGAAATCTGAGGTAATATTATTTTTGAGTGTATAGTTATGTGGCTACAAATAGATATATTAGTGTCTGTAGATTCTAACAAATATGAAGTTTACCTTGACAAAACTGTAAATCCAAAGTGAGTGAATAGATTAACTTTTTCACTTCATGTCTTGGTATGTTTGTTAAGAAAATAACTGATGAATATCTGATAATCTCACTCGATATTTTCTGTTGCAAAAGTGTGTCAATAGATGAAAAAACTCAGCTTTTATCAATGGGCACACCGAATGCAAGGTAGTATTGGAATATTTTGAGGATAAGTAGCTTTCACATCAAAACACAGAGTAATGAGCTGATGTTCAGCCAAGTGCCAAGAGCTCTCCTGTTATATTTAATGTTGGGCATGACAGCAAGGAAGGATGATTAGAAACACAGTGGCCTAGAGCAGTGAAGACAGGAATAGCTGTGGTCAGCACACTTCCCCAAAAATGCTGACAGGCTCTATTACTTGCACAAGTGCATTGACTCTTCCTGTCACTTAAATTAGAGAACACCACCTAATTTCACCTTGACTTTCCCAAACTCTTGCAATATACAAGCCCCTTCTATAGCCCCTGCCAGATACCTCTTCTACTCTCCTCCCAAATATTTCTCCTCACATTTCCTGTGATTTCTTTACCCTACATTTCTATCCAGACTGCTTTCCTCTCATATTCTTCCAGAAGATCTACAAGGAAAATACTTTATTCCCATTTGTAACATATGTTAAAATTTTGATTTTAGCCCAGGTTTAGCATTTTAGCCGAGGTTTAGCATTGGATTTAGCTCAGGTAAGTAAAGATTGCCAGAGGCATCAGATAGGAAAGACTGGAGAATCTAGCCGAGAATAAAAATTTGTTTTTTGACTTATGACTTTACCTTTTCCTATTGGATCATGCACACTGGAAAGATAGAGCGTCTGTAGGTAGAACTACTGGAGTAGAAAAGAAAGTAGAGTCTAGGCTTTGAAAAAATACAAGGTGATAATGTTGCTTTTGGGTAAGGAAAGGCTCAGACTTCAGGGAGATACAGTCTAAAAATCATAATTGTCATTTATATACTTATATATAACTATTATTATGCAGATGTATCTGTATCTTCTCTGATTATTTTTGAAATCTCTTCATTATTTCTGCCATCATTACACCTGTCTCTATCAGTGCAGCAATGGGTTTCTCTCAAGAGGTCATGGAATAGTTGTAGCATTCCTTCTTCACAAACCTTACAATTCAGTGTGGTATAACGAAATAGGTATGTACCTAAAGAGAAGAAAAGCAAATGTGACCACATTGCTTAATCTCATAATTTTCCTAGGAATGGCTTCTATCCAGAATCTCTTCAGGTTTCTATAGACAAGAATGGACCTCAAGGCTGTGTCTAAATCTCATTTATGTCTCCCTAGATGTAACCAGACAAGACATCTGCCTCCCGTGTAGCCCCTATGACCAGGTTGGTGTATGGAGAATCCGATATCCTCAGCTAGTCTCATAAACCCAGGTTCCCGCTACACCTTGATTGTCAGTACTGTGGGCACCGCTGATGATATGTGTGTAACCCTGCTTACCTGAAAAGCGATCACTATAGTAATAGTGATTTGTGGCACAACTCTTGTTTTCCGAGTACACATTAAACTTCCAGCAACTTTTCATGCCACCATGGCATATGGCTCCATCAAAGTGATCACATCGATTGCAAAACCGAATCACTGAAAAAATAAGGAAGCTTTACAGAAGGCTTCAGCAAAGTAATCATGCTGTACAAGCCTATCCCCACCTGTAAACATTTATACTAGGGTGGCACAGACATGCCAAAAAGGAAGTGGGCATGCCTCTGAACTTGTGTTATATTGTCCCTTGACTGGTGACAGCTATGACCAATACTCCCCCAAAGGAATCAAGGACCATCCATTCCTAGTATGGGACAGAATGAACATACTAGAGTAATGAGGGAGGAGAGCAGATGGTAACCAGTAAGAGAGAGGGAGAGAGGGAGAGAGTGAGAGAGAGTGTGTGCAAAAACTAAGGGATGATCCCTCTCGCTGTGGCGTTATTTATCTAAGAATTGCAGGTCTGCTACACCATACATTTGCTTGTCAGGACTCTGTCTCCTGTGAAGAGAAGAAGAAAAGTTCTCCATCAATAATTTTACACAAACATAAAAGCCTTATGTAGAATCCACTTTCTTCCTCCCCATACATTCTCTTGTCACCCATCCCTGCATCCCTTTTTCTCACCAATGAAGAGAACTATGAATATGCCCAGAAGAAACAACCGGAACATGTTGGAGCCCATTTTTGAGAAGGTCCTAGCGGTAGATTCCAGCTGTATTTATTCCCATCACCTGCCCTGAGGCATCCCCATAGAGTCAGACAGTCATAAATTTCAGATCAAACCACCTAATCCTCTCTACGACGTTCTCAGAAGAGGGTACATCCTGTCTGAATTCCTCCTGTCTGAATAGCTGAATTCCTCCAGCTATTTGGCACTCAGCCCACTGAGACACCACATGTCAATTTATTAATCTATCCCAAGAGATTAACTTTCTTTTCTATAATCTTTTTCCTTTCTACAGTCTTTCTGTTCTGCTTTAGGGGTCATTTCTCCATTTGATAGTCTTCACAAATGGGTCTAATTCTACATGCACATGACATCCTTTCAAGTATAACAGATCCAGAGTCACCGAGCACCTGCAAGTGAGCGACTTAGTCCCATTCAGCACACAACAGCACCCTGGATGCTCAGCTTGGTGTGCCCTCCATCAGGACAACATGCCTCACACTGCGTGTGGCCTCGGGCCAAAGCACAGCAGTCCAGCTACGTCTGACTGCTCAGTCCCTCTCTGAGGGGCGGTTAGGGCAGCAGAGGGAGAAGAGAGGAGGGTGGACATCACCTTGGTTTCTCCTGTGCTTTACTCATTGATTTTTTGGAAAAGATGTACTTATTTATTTGAAAGGCAGAGTGATAGAAAGAGGGAGACAGAGATTTTCCATCTGCTGGTTCACTCAAAATGTCATGCAAGCAGCTAGGATCCTGGAATTCCACCTGGATCTCCATGTGTGTGGAAAGGGCCCAAGTATTGGGAATATCTTTTCTGTCTTCCCATGCACATTAGCAGATAGCTGGAACAGAAGCAGAGGGGCTGGGACTCTATGCAGCTTTCCAACATGGGATGCCTGGTATTGCAAGCAGCTGCATAATTCAGTGCACAAGTATGCTGGCCCACATTAATGATGTTTTCTTTTCTTTTTTTTAACGATTTATTTTATTTATCTGAAATATGGAGTTACAGATAGATGTAGAGACAGAGAGGTCTTCCATCCGCTGGTTAACTCCCCAGATGGCCACAATGGCTGGAGCTGTGCCAATCTGAAGCCAGGAGCCAGGAGCTTCTTCCAGGTCTCCCACATGGGTGCAGGTGCCCAAGGACTTGGGCCATCTTCTACTGATTTCCCAGGCCACAGCAGTGACCTGGATCAGAAAAGGAGCAGCCGAGACTAGAACTGGCACCCCTATGGAAAACTGGTGCTTCAGACCAGGGCTTTAACCTGCTGTGCACAGCACTGTCCCAATGATTTTTTTTTTCACTAGAAACATAGACCATGAATGATTTCAGTTGGAGAGACTTACATTGGTATTGTGGAGAGATTAGAGTAGATATATTTACAAAGATCCCTAGAAATTGTATGGGCACGGTAGTTAGGGAGTACAAGAAATGAGTTTTCCAATGGTTGTATGCTTTTCCCTTACTTCCTCCTGAAGATTCCCTCCCCTTTCTCCTATCAGTATCCACTGGCTCCATGATGAATCTCCTGGTCTCCATCTCAATACAAGAACAAAGTACCCTGATCAGGGCACTTAACACAATTTGTCATTCTGCAATTTCCTTGGTTTTGTGCATTTTGTTTCTCTCCCCTCATGAGCAGAAAACCTTATGACTGCTCTCACTCTGAAATTCCACTCATTGTTTTCTCTTTGGTATCTGCAGTCACTCCTGCTTGTAGCAGATCCTCAGAATATCTGATGGGCAAATGTACAGCATGAATAAACACTGGGAAGGTATGAGGGCAGGGGAATTGTGTAAAACCTTTATCCTGACAGTCCCTGGTCCAACTACAAAGGATGAACTCGCTGGCCTTAACTTTGCATCAGTCCATGAGAGAGGTAGATTGCCCTGTAGTGGGGAGCGAGGGAATCGTGTATCCAAATGTATTCCTCACGGAGTGCTTCACCATAGGATATCTCAGTATAATCCCTCATATAATCCCGACTCTATGGAAAGTCTCCTGTGCCCTGGGATGGAAGTAATGATGCTCCCACCTGCTGTGTGACTTGAAACTGGTTATTGACCCTTGCTGAGCCTCTGTGACCAAACAGGTGAAGACAAGGACTTGCTCAGGTCTAACTGAGGTCCAGTTGCCCTACCTGCCTGGATCCCACCCCTGAAATCTTGGCTCTCCATCTCCTCCTGCAAGGTCAACTCAAGGCACTTTGAGTCCAAGCCCCATTTTCCATTCTCTTCACAGCCCTCCAAGCTCTCTAGACTCAGATGTGAGAGCAGAGGAACCATAGAGTCTAAGGTCCAGTTTCACATCAGAAGCAGGACTCAAGTTAAAATGCCTCCACAATGTAAATGTTGAGGGGGTATGTTGACCAAGTCGGGGGCTTGGAATATGAAATAGGGCCAGAGATGGATTATAAGTCTTCCCCCACCACTTGCACAGTTCAGCTCCTGCCAGGCCCAGTACAAGAGCTTAACTTAGTGAATTTGGTGAAAATAACTGTGGCAAGGCCCAAATACCAGAGCAACTATGTTTGCCAGAACTCCTCTGAAAGCCCCTCCACGGCCCCTTCTCCCGTGGCTCTGCCGCAAGTGAGTCACCAGGACCTCAGCCTCTGAGGGGGCCTCTCCCTGAGTCCTTTAACCCTTGAGAAGCTCTAGAAGGCCCCCTCGACCTCCAGGCCCTCAGTACAGCACAAGCTCCACACCTGGGATGACGAGAACTGGAACGAGAGAGTCCTACAAGCTGCCCCCTCTGCTGTTCTCAAGCTATTTGCCATGACTGCTGGGACAGATGTACCTCCTACACCCTTACAACTGCAGGCTGCTGGGATGTTAAGTCAGACTGGAGAAGAGAGACTGGGGATCACATCGTCTTAGGTGTTCTTCTTCCCTGAGAAAATCTCTGTGCTACTTACTGTGAAACTGGTCATATTGACCATCCGTTCTTTGCAGTGCTATATTGGGAAAGGAAGACCCATTGCATGCAATAAAAATTGCATGGGAATCATTTTTTGTTTCCTCCAGCAAAAATAAACTGAGGGTTCCTTCACTTGTACTCCCTGTGCCAAGACCTAAAATACAGAATAAGATAATAGAAGGCTTGGTATTTGAAATTCTTGGGAGCCATACAGACCCTGCAGCCAGAGTAATTCTTAGATGTGTCAAGCAACTCAGGCCACTCATAGAGGTGTCCTGGTAGGGCAGTGGCCAGGGCCTACAGGTAGTGCTGTGCCATAGGAAGAGAAAGAATCTGGCAGTGGGTGCATCTGCAGGCATGGCCTGAGAAGTCCACCACCACCAAGGCTTTGATTGGAGTTGTGTGTTGGAGTGGGCAGGAGACCAAGAACAGCTCCTTCCAGATGGCCTTTGAAGTCAGGAGCTCTGATGCAGAACAGACTGGGTTCTCTTGGACAGGCAAGCAGTTCAACTATGGTTCACTGAGATAGGGTAAGAGCTGGGCCTGTGCAGCCCAGAATACCTGAAAGCCAGAGACACATAAGAGGACTGCAGAGATCCCAGGAGGGCACTCTGCTGAAAAGGCTCGGGGTTCTCTTCTTCTGCCTTGCCCCTGTCTGCAGACTCCTCTTCTCAGGGATTTTCTGGGCATTTCAGAGTGCCATTCTGCGTTGCAAACCCCTAGACACAAGTCGTTCTCTCAGAAGAACACCTATAGGGACTGGTGCAGAAGTGTGAAAAGGGTGCCTATTCCCAGACCAAGCCCAGAGACAAGCACAATGGCCTAGATTTGGAACACAGAACACATCCTGCCAGCCCCTCTTTGCTTTCCCAAAGGCCTGATCCTGAGGAATCTCACACAACCCTGTCTTGGGAGGACAGAAATGCAACTCTAACTCTCCCCACCGCAAGTGACTGGAAGAGGGCACCCGTGTCAGAGACTGACCTATCACCAAGAATCACAAGTCTTAAATCTTCCATGAGCACATCTGTCAACATTGCCCTGTTTTCTCATTCTCCCAGGCTTCACTTCATGATTTGCTGGCAATCTCTGATTTCTTCTTTCTGTCATCCCCCTTTTTATTTTTAAAATTTTAAAAATTTTATTTGATGTATACAAATTCATGTGCTTCAGAAAGTATGTATTCAGTTACATAGTATTACCTGCCACTCTACCTTTCTTCCTACCCATGCTCCCTCTCTTCTTCCTCATTTTCCTGTTCCAATTGTGTTTTGCAAAGATCTATTTTCAGTTAACTTTTTACTCATAAGTTTATTCTTACACTAAGTAAAGAGTTCAATATAGTTTGAAGGAATAAAAAAACCATGTTCCTCACAGTTGAAAGAAGAGTTGCTAAAATTGATAGCGTCTCAAAGTGTTAATTTCACCTCCATAGATTACCTTTTAGGTACTCTACTAGTTACCACAGTTCAGGGAAAACCTACGATTGTTGTCTTTTTTTTTTTTTTTTTTTGACAGGCAGAGTTAGACAGAGAGAGAGACAGAGAGAGAGAGAGAGAAAGGTCTTCCTTCCGTTGGTTCAGCCCCCAAATGGCCGCTACAGCCGGTGCACTGCACCTATCTGAAGCCAGGAGCCAGGTGCTTCTCCTGGTCTCCCATGCTTGTGCAGGGCCCAAGCACCTGGGCCACCCTCCACTGCACTCCCGGGCCACAGCAGAGAGCTGGCGTGGAAGAGGAGCAATGGGGACAGAATCCGGCACCCCAACCAGGACTAGAACCTGGGGTGTCGGCGCTGCACGCGGGGGATTAGCCAAGTGAGCCGTGGCGCAGGCCGGTTGTTGTCTTTTTGAGACTGGCTTACATTGCTATGTATAATGGTTTCCAGTTGCATCCAGTTTCTTTCAAATGACAGGGTATCATTTTTTTAAACCACTGTGTAGTATTTTATACTATATGTAGTAGATATATATATACTATACATAATATATATTATTTATTGTATAATTATAGTTATTTATATATATCATTACATTATATATAATGCTATGTATTATATAATGTTATATATATTATATAACATATGACACATAATAATGTATAATATGAACCATAAAATAAATTATATAATGAATAATATATAATACACATTATTATATATATTATTTTATATATAATATATTGTATATATAATATATTGCATATATGTGTATATTATATATTGTAGTATAATATATAAAATTATATAACATAATAGAATAATATAATACATAATAAATATTATAATATATAATATATATACACGTGTATATCATAATGCATAATATATGATATACAATACAATATATTAATGTATATAATATACAAATATCATATACAATATTTTATAATGTATAAATATATATTATATATTATAAATATTATATATACATAACACATATATAATCTATAATACATAGTGTATATAATACATAATATATAATATATTGTATATCATATAGTATTTTATATGTTATATAATATAGATATGTATATATTATATAGCATATAATATATACTATATATGATATAGTATATTATATAATATAGAATATATAACATAATATATAGCATAATGTATAATATATAATATTATTATATAATATAGAATGCATTGTATGTTATATACAATATAGCATATATATTTAATATTTTAATAATAATATTAATGTAATATTAATAATATTTAATGATATTTTATATAATAAATTATATAATATATGGTAGTATGTATTATGAAGTATATATTTTATTGTATATTATTTATACTATAAATTATAATAAATAATATAATATTATATGAATATATAATATATAATATAATATAAATAATATAATATATATGATATAATATATTATATAATATAATATATATCCACTAACAGTGGATTAGAGTACCTTTTTCCCTACATCCTCATCAGCATTTGTTGTTTGTTGATTTCTGTATGAGAACCATTCTAACTGTGATGAGGTGAAACTATTGTGATTTGGATTTAATTTTGCTAATGGCTACTGATCCTGAACTTTTTTCACATGTCTGTTGGCCATTTGAATTTCCTCTTTGAAAAATTACTGTTCATTCTTTTTACCACTTCTTAACTGGATTATTTATTTTGTTGTTGTTGAATTTTCTTAGTTCTTTTTTTTTAAACTTTTATTTAATGAATATAGTTTTCCAAAGTACAGCTTATGGACTACATTGGCTTGTCCCCACCCCCCGATGACTTCCCTCCCACCTGCAACCCTCACATTTCCCGCTCTCTCTCCCCTTCCATTCATATCACAATTCATTTTCAATTTTCTATATATACAGAAGATCAGTTTAGTATACATTAAGTAAAGATTTCAACAGTTTGCACCCACATAGAAACACAAAGTGAAATATACTGTTTGAGTACTCGTTATAGCATTAAATCTCAGTGTACAGCACATTAAGGACAGAGATCCTACATGAGGAGTAAGTGCACAGTGACTCCTGTTGTTGACTTTACAAATTGACACTCCTGTTTATGGCATCAGTAATCTCCCTATGCTCCAGTCATGAGTTTCCAAGGCTATGGAAGCCTTTTGAGTTCTCTGACTCTTATCTTGTTTAGACAAGGTCATAGTCAAAGTGGAGGTTCTCTCCTTCTTTGATGACCTATTCTTTCCACTGGGATCTCACTCACAGAGATCTCTCATTTAGGTCTTTTTGTTTTGCCAGAGTGTCTTGGCTTTCCATGCCTGAAATACTCTCATGGGCTTTTCAGCCAGATCCGAGTGCCTTTAGGGCTGATTCTGAGGCCAGAGTGCTGTTTGGACATCCACCATTCTATGAGTCTGCTGTGTATCTTGCTTCCCATGTTGGATCACTCTCCCTTTTATTTATTCTATCAGTTAGTATTAGCAGGTACTAGACTTGTTTATGTGATCCCTTTGACTCTTAGTCCTTTCATTATGATCAATTGT